ACACTGCGACACACACACACACACACTCACCCACCGGCAGAAAAAAAAGAACTTTGGCCGCAACTTTCCCATCAAATATTCAACAGACAGACTATATCTCAAAATGTGATGATGGGGGTGAAGCAGTCAATCGCAATGGAACCCATTTTTAAGCTTTTCCTTGTAGCAGCCATACTCCATTTTCATTCGGTTTGCAACACAGCTTTCTGTGCGACGGATTTTGTTGAGTAGTGTAATGTCACAAACCTTTCACTGTTTTCTCGACTTTGTATGGATTTTTGTTAATGCAATTGGGGTATGGTTGCAACACATTAAGCTATGTGCTGTTAGGAATTTCCAGTTAAATGCAAATATTAGAATTCCATAAATAGCTTTTAACTTCAATTTGAATGCATTTTATTTGCTCGAAATACTAATGTGCCAATCTACACAAACAAACACCTACAAATGAAGAGGGAGACAACGGGGGGCGAGCGGTAGAGGTAGTTAGAGAACAATCATACAGGTTAATTTTCTATAATAACGGATGATTGGCATTTCAATAATGAAAACCAATATTTAAACAATCAGCTTTGAAACGCACGGATTTGATTGACACATTTAATGGGAAATTTCAAATTTGAATTCAGCATATTTTGAATATGCACTACATTCCTTGCCGCTAATACCAACACAATACTATTCGAACATTGAAACTATTTGCATTGACCGAAAAATACAATGACAATTTCTTGTGATCATTTTATTTCTATTTCTAATTCGTCTGATTTAATTTTCCACAATTTGCGGTTGTTTCAATGCCTAATTTATGATTGCACAGTGCTCACAAAAAACTAGAAGTTAAAATTATGTCCGTGAAAGGTAAAAAAGCTGGTCTAATCCATGGAAAAGTCAACAAAATAACCGTTTTGTCTCTGCGACGGCTAAAATTTCAATCGAACCTTTCGCGAACAAAATTTTAACATCTAGTTTTTTTGTGAGTACGTGCATAGGAAAATGCCGTATGGCGCCTAAATTGAAAGAGCATTTTTGATGCATTATTTTCGGAATTCCAAGTCACCACAGTATTTAATTAGCCACTTTGCTTCTTTATCAGTTATCAATCCATAAATTAAATTCGTCTACGCGTTGAATACTTCAACTGGGATGGCATTTTCATTAAATTAAGCTGTACATTGTTTACTACAATAACCGTCGCGAACATTTTTTTTCTTCTCGGCAATTGAGGCTCATTGAAAAAGATGAAATCAAATGCTCATTGTTTTGGTTTGTCGGAAACATTTCAAATTCAATAAAAGCTACATCGAATCTATTCCTTTTTTTCTTCCTCCGATATTATTTCGGAATTTAAAGAAAATTCGTAGTGTTCAATCATCTGTAATCTGAAGAATAGCTCATTTTTATGTGTCCAATTGATGGATTGCATTTGATGACAATAAAATGCTAAAACAATTTGTCATCGAATTTCAAAGGAGAGAAAAACTCGAAAGAAAAAAAAAAATAGATTAATTTCAATCGTGTTGGAAATCGTAAAAGATTATCCCTTCGGGTGGAAAAATGAGTAATTGCCGCATATTAATGGAATAAAACAATCATAAAGAGTAAAACTCAATCAAGTGAAATTTATTGATCAGATTGATTTTTATTACAATAAATAAAGCAGTCGAATGCAGTTTAAAGACGATAGAGTGTATGCTGGTTGCATTTGTTGAATCAAATGCCGAAAGTGTTTTGTTGTTGTTTCTGAATGTAAAACTGCTGAATCTGTTGTTGTGCCATTGGCATGGCCAACGTGTATTGAATGTTGAAACGAAAAAGCGGTAACAATAACGTAGAAGAACAAATTAACACATCGTTTCCATAATTTATTTACCATCGATATGAATGGCACGCGTGCTGTGCTGTACTGTAGCGTGGAGCATATTGAAACAAAGCAATATGAACAAGGATAGCGGTGGCGGCGATGGAACAAGAAACGAATGAAAAAAATTAGTTCATTCCGTTCGTTGTATTCTCAACCTGGCTAATCGAGCGATTGTAATTATTTTCGATACGATGAAGCAACCGAATCGATAGCCATTAAGCATACTACTGACTTTGTACAGATGAACTGCATTAGTGCCCTTTTAATTGAATTGCCGAAGCAACAGCAAGTAGCAGCACAGCAAGAAGCACGATTTTGTACACCCCAGCACAAAATCAACGCTCGTGAAGAATTCTGTTTTTTTTTTTGGTTCAGCGCAAAAGAAACGTATTCATTCTGCATTCATTCACTCGTACTCATTCGCCGTGTGTATATATCTGAGCTGCTGCCTCTATCCATGTCCACATACAACAAACATATATCGAGCATGCGAGCTGAAGCCATACACAATTTTCAGTTAAGCTGTGAGTTTAGTTACATGTTCGGCGAAATACATATCTGAGAGAGACAGAGAGAGAGAGAATGAGTGAGTAAGTTGCGTCTGGATGTGCAGTTTTTGTCGACGGTCTCATTAAAGCTTTGGACTTGCAGTAGCGAACGAACGCGCCACCGACGGCTTTATGTACTCTGCGTCTGCTGCTACTATTGCTACGATTGACAATTTTTATCCAACTAGTTTTCTGACTTGGATGAAAAATCGGAATCCGCTGTTAGTTATTGTTCGACCGTTAATTCATTCAGACGTGCTACGTACCTTGAGTTGAGTGTGTGTTGTGTCCTCCGTGCATTTCATCCACAACGGGTGTCACGGATTTTCAAATCCTATGTCGGATACATAACGGACCGTTACGATGATCCCATCAATCTCAACGATATTTCGGAGTTTTTGAAGGTGCGAATTAAAATATAATTGATTTTTCTTCCCTCTCCTGTTTTTTTTTTCTTTTTCAACAAATTCTTTTCATTCAAGTGTGATTAGTGAGGATTGAAAAAAAAAAGATTCGATCAATTATAATAAATTACCTTAAACACTGTCAATTATTGGCTTTATCATTTAATTTAACAAAAAAAACTAAAACTTCCAAGGATTTTCTTTTCGAAAAGTTTTTGTGCAATTAAAAAAAATACTCATCGCTGCCAATTTTTGATGTTATCAATAAAATTTGCAACCAAACTTCTCTTATCACCTAACATTCTCATTCGACTGCGACCATAGCGGAATGGCTAAGTATTGACTATCACATCGAAATGGAATTTTTTTTTATTCGTTATCATTTTTCAGTTATTTTAAAAACGAACAGAAGCAAAAAATGCAAAACAGAGCAGAAAAAATTCCATTCATTTTTAGAAATGATTTAAGTTTGTCTAAATGAGAATTGTTTTGGTTGTTGTGAGTTTGTTTTGAGTTTCTCCGGCACAAGATATAAATTATGATCACAATTGAGTGAGTAAAATGTAGTTTTCTTCCGTTGGCAAAATGAAATATTATGATTGCCGACGTTTGATCAGATAACACAAACAAACAAACAAACATGTGGTCTTGAGATATGAAATGCAGACAAAAAAAGCTAGAGAATGAATTTATAGAAGAAGAATCCATGTTCGCAGTATTTTTTTAAATCCAACGGCGGCTCTATCCTGTGTGTGTGTGTGTGTGTGTGTGTGTATGGCTTGGTTGTTATTTGCTCTCGTTCCTTCTTCTGCATGCAATAAGAAAACTTTTCATAAACAAGCATCCTCCGAATATGCACAATATGCTGCGTTTCATTCGAGATTGGATGTTAGGGCGCTGGTAGAGGGTGGAAAAAAAACGAGAAAGAGAGAGAGAGAGATAGAGAGAACAACAAGTCTTGAATTATCGTTTATTTCACATTAAAACTAAATTAAACGCTCAGGATCCTTGAAAATTCATTTATTTTTCTAACCATATATTTCTCCTATTAAATATATAATATCGCTGGGCTGATGTTGTTTTTCTTTTCTTTTTGCCCCGTTCATCATCAAAAACAACATCAGCAACAGCAGCAGCAGCAGCAGCAGCATCACTATGAAAACAGTTTTTGCATTGCCGTTGGTTGGTGTGTGTATTCGAAATGCCTTTTAAAAGCAGCGCGCAGCTCAAACTTTGAGTTTGGCGAGTTTTGGATTTCGACTCGAACCGTCGGAACTAGTTAGTGAATGAGGTAAAAACAATGAAGAATGAGAATGAGAAAGATAAAGCAAAAGAGACGGATGAGGGTGCAGAAGATGGTTGCAAGTAGAGAATTGTGAAAAATGTGCAAGAAAAAGAGAAGCATGGGAGAAAAACTCCAAACATTTTTCGAGCGCCGCAAATTCTTTTTTTTTTTTCATTATCATCGTTGCAACTTGAATGTACGGCACATTTTTGAAGTATGACCAACCGCACATCAAGCCGACTTACGACGTTTTTTTTCTCTCAAATAATCTATAGCATATGTTTGCGTGCTCCTCTGAACTGAAAACTTATCCACTGTAATGATTGCACATGTACATATTAAATAGGGGAGCAGAAAAGAACGAACGAGACCGATCGATTTTCTATTTTCATCCCAAAATTAAATCGTACACGGAACCAATTTTTGTATGTATTTTTAATCAGTGAATATTCGATGATTGGAGATAATCGGCGTGTTGATTGGAGTTTGAGGCGCTAAAATATTTTACGAAATGAAAAGAATGCTATGAATGATGAATCGGGTGCTAAATGAAATTCAGCAAATGAATATTCGCTAATTATTATTATCAGCATATTTCACATTCTTCATTGCAAAAGTTCCATTGAAAATTCGGTGCAATGTGTTTCAATTTTGCACATTGACACAGAGTCCTCATGATGCAGCGCACCATCGGCCGGAACGTGCCACTATTCTCAAATACTAATTTAAACCATAGGATTTACTCCGGAGTTGCCATTTATCATAAATTCAGCCTATTGATTTATTCCGTTTCTATTTAATACTTTAATAAAATTATTGGAATCGCATTTTCACAGAGTGAAAGAGCAATTAGAGTAGAATCATTGAAAACGAATGAATGCTA